TGGACCACATCATGCCAAGCCCTCCTGTCTTTAGCCGTCCTCCAGAATTTGCTTAATTTCATGTTCGTTGCATTGATAACACTGTCTAACCATCTCATTATATCTTTGTGTGCATGTAAAATGTGTTCCTCTTCATTGTGCCACCACCCCATGTTAAAAATCTAGCCTTCCACAATATCAGTAACTTAGGGAACACTGGTAAAGGCTGCCTCTGAGCAAGTACAAAGGGCAGAGTTTCCCAGTTGCTCCAGCTCTCCTCTGTGCATGCGTGTCTCAGCATGAGCAAGTGATCTAAGGCACACGGAGAGGAACTGAATCAAAGTCTGCTCTCTTAAACAGGAAAAAGACTTTATTGTAGCAGGTTAAGCTAGAGCACAATGCAGGGAAAATAATCTATCACGCCTACTGGGTTACAGAACTGATGAAAAGAACAGGAAAACAGAACACTGATCTAAACTTAACAATGCAGAAGAATTACCTCTGACACCCCAGCCCACCCCAGTTGTCTGTGGAACAAATGCACATTGTGACCTCCACCTGCTCCATGCAGGGGAATCCGATCTCCATCTTGCTCTCCCTCACAGATAGGCAAATGGTTATTTCTGCTGTCTTTTACCTCTTGGTGCATTTTATAGCTCTCTTCCCTGGGAATATAAATGGCTGTCAGGATCTTAGGAACTCCCTGGTGTACTTCATAGCACCTTACATCTCCAAATTGCAACACTTTCCATTTGTGGCACTAATTACTGTAAGTCAGAGGTGAACAGCAGCTGCCATGCTGGAGAAGAATCAACCTTTTGGTCCATGTGCTAACTGAAACTGTTTTTAAATCTGTCCCTTATATATAAAGCCGTAGTCGCCTCCAACGTTCGATACACACCAACAGTGTTTGGCCACAAGAACTGCCAGTGAGAAGACGCTGGCTAGGATGGCTGGCTCCCTCAGGACTACTGGGGTGCCATTGGCTGGGTGGCTGGGAGGGGAGGGACGAGGTCCCACTCACCTTGGAGCACCTGGACAGGACAGATGCTCCACTGGCCGGGGATCACAGCCCGATCCTCACCCCACCGCAGATCTCTGCCTGGGTGGCATGCGGCCGGACGATGGGCGGGACAGCTGATTTGCCGGGGGGGGGAGGGAAGGCCTCCACCCGCCGTCCACGCCGAGGCAGCCACGGCCTAGCAGAGAACACCAGATGCCCCCGCCCCACCTTTCCCTGCTCAGCCGCTGCTGCGGCTGGATGCTGGGAGGCGTACTCAGGCCCTCCCTCGCCCGCCGCCGCCGCCATGTCCCACTGCGAGGACGCTGACTTGTGGCAGTGTCCCAGCCGGGTATGAGCTGAAGAGGCCACCCCTTCACTCACCTCTCTTCCATGGGGCCCCTCCGCTGGTGGCACACTGACCACCACCATCTTCGGCTGCCCCCCACCTGGCTTCTCAGGCTCCTGAGAGACCTCTGTGAGGGGCGAGCAGCATCCGGCCTCTCTGCTGCCACCGTGATGAACAGCGGTGGCCTGTCTTCGCCCCCCCAGGCTTCAGAGACCCCTTGGAGCCCTATGGAGCCAGCAAGTGCTGTCGGGCATCACCGCCAGCAGCGCACCCATGGAGATGATGCGGGCCGTCACCCCCACCTTTTCCTAATGCCCGTTGCCTGGTGCAGCCTCGCACGGGGAGGTGGCGGGCCCTGCTGCGGGGGGGCGGCCCCGGCTGTCCTCAGGGATGACGGAGGTGGCCGTGCCAGCCAAGCGCCCTCACTCAGCCCCGGCTGGGCTCAGCGAGGGGAGAGGCCGCCTGACTGTATTCGCCCACCCCCTGCCCTCACTTCTGAGGTCGCACGACTGTGCCACCTTCTCCCACCCGCTTGGAGAGCCGAATGGATGGGAGAAGGCCTCCAAGGCCCCCCCATTCCCCGCTGAGCTGGGCCAGTGAGGAGAGGCCTCCTGTGCCCCCGCGATGCCATTCCCTGCTCACCCACAGTGGCGGTGGTGGCCAGGTGGGGAGACGCCGACTCAGAAATGCACTCCAACCAGGTACGGTCTGGGGCACCCCCCTCCCTCTCCTTCCCTCCCTCTCTCTCTTCCTGGGACATCTGCCTCTTCTCTCTCTCCCTCTTTCCCTTCCTTCCTTTACCTTCTATCCCCCCCATTCTCTACTTTCCTTCCTCCCCATCTTGCATTCTCCCCATCTCTCTGAGTTGTTGCCCTCCCTCCCTTCCTCCCTGTCTATCTTGGTAGACCTGGCCTCTGGAAAACAGGTCTACCCACCCCAATCCACTATATTGGTAGACCTGGCCTCTGGAGAGCAGGTCTACCCACCCCCTTCCACTATCTTAGTAGACCTGGTCTCTGGAGAGCAGGTCTACCCACCCCATTCCACTATATTGGTAGACCTGGCCTCTGGAGAACAAGTCTGCCCACCCCATTCCACTATCAGGACTGTTGCAGCGGTGAAGAGGCCAGGACTACCAATATAGTGGGATGGGATGGGTAGACCTCCAGCGCCCAGGTCTACCAATACACTGGGGTGGGTAGATCTATTCTCCAGAGGCCAGGTCTACCAATATAGTGGAATGGGGTAGGTAAACCTGTTCTCCAGAGGCCTCTGAAGAACAGGTCTACCCACCCCATTCCAGTGTATTGGTAGACCTGGCCTCTGGAGAACAGATCTACCCACTCCATTCCAGTATATTGGTAGACCTGGCCCCTGACCGCTACAACTGTCCTCTCCCCCCCCACTTCACAGATTTTTGCGGGGAGCAGGCGAGGGGCGACTGAGCTGAGCCGTCCACCGCAGCCACATTTTCGCCGCTACCCCCTTCACTCTCTCTTCGTTTCTCCCTATCTCCCTTCATTCTTTCCCTCTCTCACTCTTTCTCCTCCCTACCCCTCTGTCTGTCTGTCTGTCTGTCTGTCTGTCTGTCTGTCTATCTATCTATCTATCTATCTATCTATCTATCTATCTATCTATCGCCCACCTACCCACACACCCACCCACCCTACCTTTCTAGGGCTCGTTGTCTTCATCCACAATGGGCTTTGCTCCATAGTATTTGATAAATTCGATAATTTATCTATAATATATAGATTGAAATTTTGGCCTCCATTTCAGGACAAAATTGTGTTAGTTATTATTATTCGTACTGTTATTATTGTCAATAAAAGAAGAGATAAGAAGTGTGTATGTGGAGCTAATAATAATAACAAACAATATATGGATACAAAGAGCTTGTTGTGTGGAGGGAGTGTGCTGATTTTTCTTACAGTGGCAGCTTTTCATGTGTAATGAGTTGTTCCAAAGCATCTTCTAACTTCGGGAGGTGGGGGCATAAGAAGATGCCATGTGGAAACCAGCGTATGGTGCTTTGAATACTGAGTATGTGTGTGTATGTATTGTATATATATATAGTGTGTATATAATTATATATATATATAATATATAAAATGTGTGTGTGTATGATGCTGCCTTTGATTGAATCACAGCAATAGTTCCATCAAGGCAAGTACTGTCTATATGATAGAATTTTCTCTCACAGATAGATAGACAGACAGACAGACAGATCAAGTTATTTTTTATTATTTTACAATATAAATATTAACTATGGAAGAGACAATGGGGAGAACTGGTGTGGGAAGAAATCTATGTAAGCTAAGTGTGGTTCCATGCACACAGACTTCATAGAAGTTGAGCATTAATAGGTTAAGCCATTTTTAGATAGAAAAGATATATTTTGAGAGGGAGGCAAAGGAGAGGAAATGAGATAAGTATATGGAGCTAGTCATCACCCATGGACATATGTAAGTACATGATCAGTTCAATACTAATTTGTATTGGGTACAATAGGAATCAAGCACAATTCTTCATTATGCAACCTAATCTTCGTTATTTTCGGGCTGCCCGAACAATTCTAGTTAATTTTGTTTAATACCTATATTGACATTTTTATTTAGTAAACAATACTGTTCTCCTGGAACTGTAGACATTATTTGTTTTCTTTTAAAGCAAATATTGCTTCTATTTCTGTATGGCTATTGGTTTGCATGCCTTCTGTCTCTTTCTCTCCCCCCCCCCCTTTCCTCCTTGAAAAATATGTAAAACAAACAAGGTACCTGCAAAGACTTGTGGGGGCATCTATTTCTTCTTTCCTTCTCTGAAAGCCTTCATAGCCTCTCCCACCCACCAGCTTTTATATGCCCACCTGTCTTCAGCTTTCCCTCCTTCCATGCCTGTCAACCACTCCCTGAGAAAACTCCAGCTGTGTTCCTTAGTGTTGGCTGCTGGACCAAGTCCGGTTGAATGGTGCTGGCTGCTGCTAGGCTGAGCTCAGTTGCATGATGGGGAACTCTCAAGGACCTGCATCTCACTTCCCTCTATATTCCCCTCCCTGCTATTTTTTCTTTCCCTCCTCCTGGCAGCCCCCCCATTCTCAGTATTACCTGCTTCCTTCTCTCCTTCCCTCCCACCAACCAACCAATCTACTTTTTATTTGGCCCCCCATCTTCAACTACATTTATTTTTTCTTTACTTCATTTATTCCCCACCTTTCTCTTCAGTGGGGACCCAAAGCGGCTTACATCATTCTCCTTTCTTCCATTTTATCCTCACAACCTCCTCATTTTATCCTCACAACAGCCCAAGGTCACCCAGCAAGCTTCTATGCACATGGGGAATTTGAACCTGGGTCTCCCAGATCCTAGCCTGAAACTTTAACCACTACACTGCCCTGGCTTTTGTGGGTTGGCTGAGGTTGAACAGTTGCAAGCAGCCAGACCTGGGTGAGTTATACAAGTCACATGGCAGCAAGTCACCCAGTTGTTGCTGCCATGCCTGGTCCCATTTGTCTGAAAAAAAACCTGTCTCATCTGTTCATGGCTTCAGTTTCTGGATTTAGGTATCCGTAGATGGGACCATGTGGGAAATTAAATATACTGATATAACGAACTATTATCTGATGGAAATTACTTTATACCTTGATAAACTACATGATTTATTCCCCCATTTCAGATTGGAATAAGCGTATTGAGTATAAGCCTGGGTCCGGGAGTATACCTTTATTTCCCAGCATTCATCTGGAGACTTGTGATGGACCAGTTTCTTCCATTCAGACCACTATTGAACTGCAGACCAACTACATTGGAAAAGGCTGTGATCGTGAGACATACTCTGAAAAATCTCTACAAAAATTATGTGGTATACATTTGGATTTTTCTTTTTCTTTTTTTCTGGGAATTTTTCAGCTTGTCTTTGAATAGTGATATTTACCAGTAAGTGATTGGAATTGATCATTTGTTGAATGCACCTGGAAATTCTTGAAGGATGCTAGTAAATAACACAAAACAATAAGCTTATTTTAGACATTTACAGATAGGCCTTGGTGAATGTTGGTGTTTAGCAGTTCATTATGGAAATGAGGAATGAATTTGGTCATTAGCCAGATTTGCTGAGTAGTTCTTGACATTTAAAAACAAAATGAAAGTCGGGGTCTGACATTTCCAGCAAGCTTCCCAAAATATTGATAATTGCCAGGAACTTCAATGTTTCCTGGAATTTACCATAATAATTCAAATGAATGGAGTTCCTATACCCCTTCAGTTCTACCAAGTATTATGCCTAGCTCTACCCAAGCTATGTGTTTGAAACTGGATTGTTGGAAGAAATAGAAGATAGTTCTTAAATTCTGGGCTATATCTAACAGTGGAACAACAGTTGTTGACCACATGCTGTATTTGTTGCTACTCCTAGCTTGTTTTCTAGAAATAACCTTACTATGCATAATGATATTGATGGATGCATGCTTTGCACAGAAAAAAAATTAATTATTTCAAAGTGTCATCCATATGATTTTGAAAAAAATGAGATGTTGACTCATTAGTGAGAAATAATAACTTGTGGAACAAAAAATAGTCAAAGTCTTGTATAGTTCATAAAGTACAGTTCATCAAGTACATGTTTACTAGTAACTCCAGAGCTTGAAACCATTGGAATTTAATTATTAAGATAAAGTTAGTATGACAGCACAGGCTTCAAACTATATGAATTTCATCTCAAGGAGCTTATTATTCTTTGCTTTTGTTTCTTGACATGAAAATGAACTATAGGGGAAAAACACAGCTGGAGACTGTGTGGCCAGATTTTGGTGCCAGATATTCATGGAATTTCCAGACCCAAGTCACCTGTGTTGCCTTTACAGTATCTATGATGTAGCACACCTGAAGTCATTAGTCTTATTTGAGCCCTGTGCTGCTTTCAAAGACTTGTGCTGAAATTGTGTCCTGTGTGGACCTTCATCATGGCTGCTGTTAAGACAAAAATAGGGCCTAGTGCAGGGGTGTCAAACATGCAGCCCGCAGGCCAGATCAGGCCTCCAGAGGGCCCCAATCCAGCCCACAAGGCACTGGCTGTTTTCTACTTCCTTTTCCAGTTCTCTTGCTACTGCCATGTCACAGCTTGCTTTACCAGTCTCTCTCAATAGTACAGGAGAGAGGGAGGGAACAGCCAGAGCTCACTTCATGGCCAGGTTGCAAAAGACAAAGGGAAGCCTTTCTTTCCTTCCACTGGCTAAGGCTCCTCCCTGAAGGGAGGGAGGGAACGAGGGAGAGCTTGCTTTGCTGGGATGCCTCAATCGCATGGGAGAAATACCAAACACCTTTAAGACCAACAAAGTTTTGTTCATGTTATGAGCTTTTGTGTGTCTTGCGACAGTGTGTATGTGTTTGTTGGGCTCTTTATGCCAGGACTCTCCTGAGTGCAACTAGGTTCCCTCCCCCTTTTCACTGTATTCATACCCTCATGATCCAGTCTTTCTCAGTAAGAAAGCAATGTGAACTATTTTAGAGGAGGAATAACAACAAGCCCATGAGGTAGATTAGACTGAGAGTGTGTGTCCAGACTAAGTTCACCCCAGCACATTTCCTTTGTAGGAAGTTGTAGTCTCTGGGGAAGACTATAGTTTTGTAGACAAATACATGGCCCTCAGTCTGTGTTAGGATGCCTTCTCATGTTCTTGACCAGCATATGAAGCAACTTAAGTATAAAAGATTGCAATGCCCATCCATTTCATGTTTTTCCCTGGGTCCTAGACTAGGAACACTGAGCATGAGATTTCTGTAATGAATGTCAATAAATCAAAAGTAGGTTTGCAGCTTACAGATACAGATACACACCTGAACAGCATACTCAAGATTGCTACAGCACAGACATTTTGATGCAATAATTCAGAGCAGAGATGTCAGTTATCAGAGACTGTTAAATAGACAAAATATTGCAAGAGTGCTAGTGTTTTAAGCATGTTTTATTTAAAGTTCAAAAATCTTTGTGTTTGTGTCCTTTATTTATTTATTTTATTATTAAATTTATACCCCACCCTCCCTGGATGGGCTCAAGGCAGCTAACAAATAAGGCACATTATGCCATGATTCAACAGGTAAAAACAGGATAAAACAAGCAATAAAACAATCATTTATATAAAAATACAAGTGCTCTCGATGTCACAAATAACAGATGGGGTCACACATAACAAAGTGATCCCAGAGTGACATGGTAGACTCCAGGTGATACAGCAATCCGTCCTTCCTCCCAGGGCCGTCTCATTCCCCGATGACACCCACTCCATTTAGTGGTGGTGGTACGGTGGTGGTATAGTGATGGTGGTGGCTCCTACTCAAAAGCCTGGTGGAAGAGCTCCATCTTACAGGCCCTGCGGAACTGCACCAGGTCCTGCAGGGCCCAGATCTCTTCCGGGAGCTCATTCCACCAGGTAGGAGCCACCACCGAAAATGCCCAGGCCCTGGTAACAGCACATTTAATATCTTTGGGACCTGGGGTTACCAGTCAATGTTGTCCCCGACCGTAGTGCCCTTGGGGGAACATATGAGAAAGGCGGTCCCTCAGGTATGCCGGGCCCTGCCATATTAGAGCTTTAAAGGAAAGAACCAGCACTTTGAAGCAAACCCAGTACACTATTGGCAGCCAGTGTAGTGCTTTCAGGACAGGCCTGATATGATCCTGCCTAGTGTGAGCCATCAGCAGCCTGGCCACAGCATTCTGCACTAGCTGCAGTTTCCGGATTTGCGACAAAGGCAGCTCCATGTAGAGAGTGTTACAGTAGTCTAGCCTTGAGGTGACCGTTGCATGGATCACTGTGGCCAGATTATCGCAGTCAAGGAAGGGGACCAACGGCCGAGCCAGCTGAAGATGGTAGAAGGCTGACTTGACAGTGGCTGCCACCTGGGCCTCCATCGTTAAAGCAGAGTCCAGCAGCACTCCCAAACTTCTAACCTCCGACACTGGCACCAAAGGCGCCCCATCGAAGGTTGGGAGAGGGAACCCCAACCCCAAACTGACCCGACTTAGGCCCAGGACCTCCGTCTTTGCTGGGTTTAGTTTCAGCCGACTCAGCCTGAGCCAACCAGCCACGGCTTGCAACACCCAATAGTGGTCTTCTGGGCTGGAGTCCGACTGGCCGCCCAACATCAGATAGAGCTGGGTGTCATCTGCATATTGATGACACCCAAGTCCAAACCTCCAGGCAATCTGGGCAAGGGGGCACATATAGATGTTAAATAACATTGGGGACAGCACTGCCCCCTGAGGCACCCCACACTCAAGAGGGTGTCTCCGGGACTGCTGATCCCCGACTGCCACCCTTTGTCCCCGACCTTGGAGAAAAGAGGCAAGCCATTGGCGGGCCAGCCTCTTAATCCCCGTGTCGGCTTTATAAAGTGTATAGCTCCACTACCTGGCATTATATTTTATGACATACATGGCCTGGCCCAGCAAGGTCTCATTTATGTTGGATCTGCCCTCATAACAAATGAGTTTGACACCCCTGCTCTAGAGGAACAGGTTTACAGACTGGGCATGCTGCTAGCCCTGAGCCCCCTGTTGAAAAGCAGGTGGAGCTTTAGCCAGGAGCTCTTTTCCCCAGTGTTATCTGGTCAATCAGCTGCAGCATTTCCTAGGTAAAAACAGATCTTTCCACTGTGATACATGCTCTGGTAAAATCTAGATTAGATTACTGCAATGCAGTGAATGTAGGGATGCCCTTGGAGAGTGTCTGGAAACTATAATTGGTGCAGAATGCTCCACCAAGAATACTGACTAGAATTAGTCTTAGAGACCATATCACTTCAATATTGTTCCATCTACACTGGCTTTACATTTGCTTCCAGGCCTAGTTCAAGGTGCTGGTATTGACTTTTAAAGCCCTATATGGTTTGGGACTAGCATACCTTAAAGACTGCCTACTCCCATATGAATATACCCAACCATTATAGTCATCTTCAAACGAACTTCTTTTAGGAGTCCCTATCATCTGAGGCAAAATGGATGGGAGCCTTAAAAAGGACTTTCTTGTCCGTGGCACCCAAACTGTGGAATTCTCTCCCTAGTAGCTTTTCTCAAAATTCACTTGTGAAGAATACGTGAAAATATGAAGCTATGCTGTACTAAGATAGAACACTGATCCATCTAATCAGTATTGCCTTTTGTAGCTGGCAGCTGTCCCTCAATGTCTTTCACAGCATTGCTGCCTAAGATCCTTTTACTTAAGACATGTGGGATCTTCTATATGCAAGCAATGTACTATTACACTGTCATGGCTCCCCCCACCAAAGAATTTATATGAGATCAATCTTCTATGGTTATGTATACAGTATAATAAAGTATTCCTTATCAGTTTTAGGCCATGTATACATTTATATTTGGAATGGTATTATGTTTTCTTCAGTAGTCAAGAACTGAGAACAAAGGTAGCATTAGTAATAAATGAAAGGGATTAGGTATGTCAAAGTAATTTCTGCAGTGAATTCAAGAGAACAGCTTTCTCATTAGCATCTCATTAGTTTGTTCATTATATATCATCTGCAGGAGCATCATCAGGTGCCATTGACTTGTTACCCACTCCCAGTGCAGCAACTAACTGGACAGCTGGTCTTTTGATAGACAGCAATGACATGATTTTTAAATTTGATGGAAAGCAAGGAGCCAAAATCCCAGATGGAATTGTACCAAAGAATTTAACTGATCAGTTCACCATTACTATGTGGATGAAACATGGCCCAAGTCCTGGATTAAGAGCAGAGAAAGAAACTATTCTGTGTAATTCAGATAAGACAGGTAAATCCACTTTATTTAATACCTTCATTTCCTTTTTCACAGTTCAAAGGAATAAATAAAACTTGGTATTGAAAATGTTATGTATTCAGTCATAAGAGCCACCCTAAAGGTGTTTCTGATTTTAAATCACTGCCGTGGATTTGGAGAAAAATAACTTTGGAATTGAGATAAATAAATGGAATGCATATTCTGATTTCTGATTTATACATCCATACTGAGATACTTTTTAATCTTTTTTCTCTCTATATATATATTTAGAAATGAATCGGCACCATTATGCGCTTTATGTACACAATTGTCGACTTGTCTTTCTGTTGCGTAAAGATTTTGATCAAGCGGATACTTTCCGTCCTGCAGAATTCCATTGGAAGCTTGACGAGGTACTTACTATCCTTTTATCTCTTGTTACATAAAATTTATTCCAATCATCAGTGGATTTCATGAAAAACTGCTACTCCAAACAGAGTTTGAACTGTGATAATGTTGTCCAGGTATCAATCAATAATGTTATATAATTCAGTTAGCTAAAACTATTCCTTGATTCCTCTGTGGATTCTACAGTTCTCAGCTGTTCCTAGGTTCTAGCCTCATGATAAGCAACAACTTGAATATTACTTTTCTTCTAGAATGATGCTTCACTCATTGACATACAGTGTGGTGTATGGTATCTCAGAAGCTCTGAATTCATCATATGAAGGCACTTGTTCCAAGTACAAAGTCATTTCAGTATAATTTAAAATTCTTCTAAAAGTATAATGTATGGGTAAGCAGGGGTCATGTCATAGAAAAAGAGATGCAGGAGCTCATTAGCATAACTCATTAGCATATGCCACACCCCCTGACATAACCGGAAGTGTGTCAGAAGGCAACACCCACCACTCAGGCTCCACCCCAAAAATCTCCAGGTATTTCCCAACTCAGAGCTGGCAAGCCAGCTTTACACTTTGACGAAAGACACTCTAGGTTTCCTTTGCTCTTTAAATGTAGATTCGACCTGAGTTATTTTTTAAATAAATCAAGCCAGAGGCACTACCAACATCGACTTCCACGAGGATTTTCCTGAGTCAGCTCTCATGTTCACAGAATTGCTTGGGGGATTCTTACGGGGAGAAATGCAGAAAGGGGAGGCAGGTGGTTGAGCACTCATGTCCCCCACTCCGCACTTTCACCTATAAGAATTCCCCAAAGGAACTGGAACTCACTGCTTCAAACGCAGTGCATGGATCCCCGCTATGCAATCGCTTTATGCAGGGGGGGGGACAGACGGACCCAGAATGGAAAATAGGAGGCCCAAAAAAAACTACTCTGGGACTGGAATGAGAGACCATGGAGTGGAATGACAGCCCCTAGGAGTAACAGAAGTGTTCCAGAGACCCTAATGGAAAATCCATTCCACATTTTTATTTCAACTCTACTTGTACTGTAATGTATTTCAATGGAGCCCATGCAAGCCAATTGGCATTCCTGGCTCCCATTATTTCCAATGGGCCTCCAAGTCTCTCCCTTTGTTTCCAATGGGCAATCCTGTCCTTCCTTTTAGTACATCCCTCGTCTTCACCTCTGTCTCACCGGAGCTGTGCAAGAGAAGAGCACCCAGCTTCCTGGCATGACCATTCAGAAAGCAAAAGCAAAAAAATAAAGGCTTTGAAGAAACTAAGAATGGGAAAGCAGGAGAAATCCAAAGAGGATGCCAGAGAGAAGGGGCGGGGAGAGGCTGGTTGAAAACAAACTTTGGCAAAGGCATGTTGCTTGGGGTGGGGGGACAGAAGCCACATTTTCACCCCAACTTTTTGAGCACTGTGAATAGTAAGAAGCCTGTTTAGAAAAAGGTATATTATTTTTAATTCATAGCTTTTTCTACTCTTTCTGTGTCCACACACACACACTCCACCTTTCTTTCTGCTTTAGAATTTGAAGGAAAAGGAAAAGGGGGCAGCCACAGGACAGGGGGAACTCCCTCTGTTCCCCATGGATTTCCATATTTTCAATACAAGAGCTCATCAGAAGCCAGCTGGTCAGCCTCCCCAAAGTAGATCTACCTGCAATACTGCTGTCTCCTTTTGCCCCTTGGCTCCTCAATCATTTTCTTTGCAGAAATAGTAGCCAAAGTTTGGAGGTCTGAGAAGGGGCTTTTCTGCCCGCATTTTTCCCTGTTCCTTCAAAAGCAGACAAAGGGCAAACAGCCATCAGTTGAAGCACTGTAAGTCTTCGCGCTCTTGCATGCAGTTTGCCCCACCCTGTTCATCTCATCCAATCACCACTTACCTCCTCCTTAAAGGCACCACACTCTCTTTGCTCCTATTGGGCTCACTTGTATTGGGCTCACTCACCCTGGGCTGGGCCCGGGGGTGGAGGGAGCGGGGCTTTGCCCATTGAAGGTCCCCGGCTGGCTGAGACAGCCTCTGGTACTCCCTCCTTGGGCCCACCCACCCATAGATCAGCTGCGCTGGCAGGAGGCCACGAGTTTTATCCCTGCTGCAGCCAAGCTGAGAAGACCCTGGAAAGCCATGAACACACACACGGTGCCCAGCTGCAGTCCCCAGTGGTTGCCCTCGGCCTCTCCATCCCCACGGTAGGGATGAATTGCCTTCTGTTTGGTGCAGGAACAGGTGGCGAGGCTTCCAGATCATCTGCCCGACACCCTGCCACCTGGGCCACACTGCAGGGTTGCGGGTCTGACTTGGGATCTCCTGGGGCTCAGGGTTTTTTTGGGGGGGGGATCAGACCAGAACGAATCCCCTGCCCTCCATGGCAGGGAAATGGCCCTTCTCTACGCCCCCCCACCAGACCCTAGCGGAGCCGCTCTACCCATCCAAAGGGCCCAGACCAGCCCGGAGGAAGGACGGTCAGGCAGGTTCAGATGTGACTCCAGGAACTGGCCCACACGGGCTGGAGCAGGGGAAGAGAAAAGGAGCCCATTCTGTCTCCTCCTCGCCCAGCCCCGACTGGCCACAACAGGTAAGGACACGTGCTTTCTTTGAGCTCCTCCAAGCCCGACTAAGGGCTGCTGGGAGCTGGGGGCAGGGCTTGCCACCACCTGGGCTTGTTAACTGCCAGAGCGTGGCTCCTGTGTGCTCCGGCTTGAACTGACCCCTGTGGGTAAGGAAAGCTCAAATAGAAAGTGCTGCATATATGAAGTACATGTCTCTTTCATTGGTTCCTTTGCTGCTGGCTCAACCTGTTTATCCACCATAAGCACTGTTTTCCCTTGCCACACTGGTGGGGTTCAAAGTAAGGTGCAGAGGAAGTGCCAGGAGAGGCAAGTGTCATTGGTACCATCTGGTCAGGTTTCATTCTTAGCAAAATCCAGCACCTAGTTCTGAGCAAAGAGCAGTGTGGAGCATCTTTCCTGTTGAATTCTGTGGAACTTGCTGCTGAGTAAACATACTAGGTGGTGGGATGTAAAGTCTACTGAAACATTAGGTTTCTGAAGCAATGGATTTTTGGAGTTCTCATTATCCTTTGTTAAAGAATCCTGAATATTTCCCTCCTGCCTGCATTTCCTAGCCTTTTACAAAATTATGGGCTTGTTTGATGTTATCACCTCTACTTTTTTCTCCCCCCTCTCCACTTACTGGTCTTTTAATAGTTGGGGGAGGAATACCAATGAAGACTGGAGGTATGTATGCATTTTGAGTGGAAGTTGTGGTGCACAGTTTCAGCCTCCATCCTCCATGAGACTCAGGCAGTCACTTCCAGATTGTGGATTAGAATGCTGGGGGGGGGGGAAGAGTTTGGCAGTTTAACTGCTGGCCAGCTGACAGAGTAGAGGGTTGTTGGATTTTGGTGGGAGAAGGATTAGGAGGTCTCTTCGTTAGGCAGGAATTCCATTAGGGACTTTTGAAGATACATAGGGTTTGGTTGCTGTTCCTGTCAAAAACAGTTAAAATTTCTAAGCTTTTCTGTTCCATGTTGTGATTCTGAATCTGTCAAACAAGAAACTATGCTTTGGAACTGTTACGCTTTCTCAGACCTCATCTCTCTAGTAACTCTGTTACTGTAATATTGAGAGAAAAGGAAAACAAATAAACAACCACTGAAAGACAACAACAACATACCACTGAAATAAACCTGTTTCTAAGTTGTTTTCATCAAGCCTAATGTGTGGTTCCTTCAAGCCTATAAAAGTCTCATAATAACCCAAGTGAATGCCAGGTGGTGCTGTCAGTCTAGACATTGCCCTCATTGAGGACTAGAAGACTAAGCAGCCCCAAAAGCCTCAATTATAAAAAATTTTTTTTTAAAAAAAACATAAAAATGAGTTTGTAGGGTATGAAATTTAAATCCCTAGTTTCTAGGTGGCATGACCTGGATGGCCCAGATCTCGGAAGCAAAGCAAGGTTGGTCCTGGTTAGTATTTGGATGGGAAACCACCAAGGAATTCCAAGGCACCTATGCAGAGAAAGGCAATGGAAACCACCTCTGAACGTCTCTTGCCTTGAAAACCCTATAGGATCACCATAATTTGGCTGCAATGATGGTGCTTTATAGGCACACACATTGTTTGCTTCTGCACTGTAGAGGCAAAATGCCTCTACTTGTAAATGTAAATGGGGGAAAACGGGAAAGGTCCACATTTTCATTTCCTACAATGAACCTCAAGCACAGACAGTAATGAACTATGTGAATGATTATTAAGGATCATTCAGTTGATGTTATTAATTTAGATCATGTAAAACATTTTATTACAATTAACATAGGGCAAAATGTTAGGATAAATTCAAACCAGAAGAGTGGCATAGAGTTGATGACAACTTTGGTATTTGTGTATGTGTATAAATACTAGTATACTTGGGCTGGAATGCTACATATAGTCTGCATAATATTTGTTGACTATTAAAATAATATCTTAGGGAAACAGATCTATCTTTTAAAAATATAGGGAACCAAGCCACATGTAAATATTACCCACTTGTGTGGCAAAATATATGTCCATTAATAGAATCCGCTGAAAAAAGAAATCATACCAGTCAAAAGACATTTTCTTTGTAAATGACTGAGGTGTATGAACTAAAAACAGTACTAGAAACTGTATTTTGCTGTGACTGGTATAGGAAGTCTTCTCATATTATACCTTTCTATATGCAATAGGTCACTAAAAATTCATGTAGTTACATGTGTGTATTAGCACAAAGGAAAACTAAGAAGACTGGTCTTATCGTATATGGAAGAACTTTCCTCTCTAAATTAAATTTTATTCAGTTTTAATCTAGAAGAAACTTTAATTGTTTAGTGCTTTTGAAGCTCAGACAATTTAACTTGATAACTCTTTCTTCTTGAGCCAGCATGAAACCAGCCACACACACCATAGTAATAAGACTTCATGCACACATGCAAAAAAGCCAGAAAACACCTTGCTCATATCCTGCACAGTTAGAGC